TTCTGTCCAAAAGGCTCCCTTTAGCATCTCTTGTAAGGTTGTTCTAGTTTTAACAAATTCCCTTAGTTTCTGCTTGTCTGGAAATGTCCTAATTTCACCATCATGTTTGAGGGACAGTTTTGCTGGATACATAATTTTTGGTTGGAAATTTTTCTCTTTCAGTGTTTTATATATACCATCCCATCCTCTCCTGGCCTGAATGGTTTCTGCTGAGAAATCTGAGCTTAGTCTTATTGGTTTTGCCCCTTGTAGGTAACTTCATTTTTCCTGTGCTGCTCTCATGATTCTTTCTTTGTCTTTGGTTTTGGTAAGTTTGATGATGATATGTCTGGGTGATTTTCTTTTGGGGTCTATCCTGTTTGGGGTTCATTGGACTTCCTGAATGGATATATTCTCATCTTTCATCATACCAGGAAAATTATCTTCCAACATATCTGCAACAATTTTCTCTGTGATTTTGTCTCTTCCTGTTCTGGAATTCCGATTATACGTAGGTTATTCCTTTTGATGGTATCCCACATGAACCTTAGGCTTTCTTCATTTTGTTATGACCTTTTTTCTGATTTATCCCTTTCCAAATAAGTGTTTAGGTATTTGTCTTCAATCTCCCTAATTCTGTCTTCCATTGATTCAATTCTGCTCCTTTGCCCATTCAATGTCAGATTATCTATTTCTGAAAATTTAGTATTAATCTTCTGGATTTCTCTGTGTAGATTTTGTATCATTTCTAATTTTTCATTTGTCATTTTATTCCTGTATTGTCTTTTGAAATTGTTCGAGTGTTTTCTCTGTGTTTTCTTTGATCTGTCTCTCAATTCATTGGCGATACCTAAATATAATTATTTTGAATTCCTTATCAGGGAGTTCCAATGCTACGTCTTCCTCAGGGATGTTTTGGGTCTGTATCCTGGTCCCTTGTTTCTTCTGCTTTATCTTGCTTCTTTGTGTGGACTGTGATGCTCTGTTGTCTCCGAGGCATTGTGATGTTTTAGTGTTTATATTTAATTGGTGATTGTATGTTGGAGTGACTTGCCCATGATTTTAGCTTTCTTTGTACAATATCTACACAATCAGGGTACTGTGCTCCTCTATTCACTAGCTGACAGCACTTATACACTCACCACCTGTCTGCTTTCCTGTTGTCAGTCCCTGCTGACCTTAGCAAACAGAGGCTATTCTTAGGTCCCTGGAATCCGAATGAGAATGCTATCACTTTAAAATCCAAAATGGTTGCCACTTGTAAAGATTCAAAATGACTGCGCTCTCGGTCACTTTAAATATCCAAAATGACCACCACTTATAAACATTCAAAATGGCTATGCCCTCATTCACTTTAATATATCCAAAATGGCTGCACTCTCGGTTACTTTAAATATCCAAAATGGCTGCACCCTCGATCACTTTAAATATCCAAAATGGCTGCCGCATGTAAACAATCAAAATGGCTGTGCCCTCCAGACAGCAGAAAGTCAACAGCTCAGGTAGTCTCCCTCCTTGCTGTTTCCCTTCCTAGTCATAGGCCACCAGTGCAGTCATCCCTGCAGCCCATGGTGACCAGGGCTGATCTTTAGGTCAATTCTCAGGTCCCAACACCACTCGGAAATATTCAGGCTGTTGGTCCCATCAGAGTAGGTGACAGTCCCCAGCTCCAACCGTCTCTGTACTCATTGTTTTCGTTCAGGTTTTTCCACTGATTGATTCCTAATCCACTTCAAAGCTCAGGGCTCCAGGATTATCTTCTGTATCTCTGTCAATTGTTTTTCCTTTTCTTTGTTGGAGAGGGTCTGTGTCGCTTGTCTGCCTACTCCTCTCATGTATAACCTTTTGAAAAAGAAAGTGGTTGAGAAGTGACAAGGATGGTGGAAAAAAGAAAGACATTAGGGTATGAATAAATGAGAGGGGTTACCAAGGATCAGTAGATGACAGCATCATGGACTGATGGCAGTTGGCATTAACTTTATTTTAAAGCTTGGATTTTTGAAGGACAAAGGAAGATAAATGACTTAGAGGCAACATGAGGAACAGGCTTTGAGAGAGAGAGAGAGAGAAAAAAAAAAAAAAAAAAACTAGGTAAGGGGAAAAAAATCTCCTATATGTATAAACCTTGCAGCAAACATAGTTTGGTCATGTAATAATCCAGCATTCTCTTGGCACAGGAAGTTGATGGGACATTTAAGAGAAAAGGATGAGAGTAAAGGGGAAATACTGTTAAGAGATGTTGAGATCTAAAGAGTAGAGTGATAGGACGGATGAAGAGTATGATTTTGAATTAGATTACAGAGGTAGAGTGTAACATAGAGGCTACTGGTAGTGTTTGAGGTGAAAAGGACGATAAAGCATGATGGAATTAGTTTTAGTAATTTCTTGGGAGGAGGGAAGGTAGGTGTGGTAGTTAAGGTTATGTGTCAGCTTGGCTGGGCCTGGTTGAGTGGCTGGGCAGCTGGATGTAGTGATTCCCCATGATGAGACTGGTAATCAAGTCCATGATAGAATCTGTTGTGAGTAGCTGAGTAGCCGCCTTAGGTATATGGTCTGTTTCCATTATATAAGAAGCTTTGAGAAAGGTCTCTGAGCTTTTTGGCATGCTTGGACCCTGCATGTAGCCAAGTCTTCATTCAGCAGCCTGCCAGTTATCCTGCCAATCTTGAGACTGTTTCTGGACCTAACTTAGTAAGTAGCCTTCTGTATTGCTTAATAATCTTGGGACTATGCCATTTTATTTATTGACTTTGGATTTGTCAGCCTTAGCAGCCAGCAGCTGCCTGAGCTAAGAGAAGCCTCCAGGTTCAGTGGGCTGGGAGCAGGAGGCAGAGCTGAAGCCCAAGGTAGAGGGGCCTTCACTCAGCCCCTAGAGCTGGCACTTTGAACTGAGAGTTCTAGCCTCCTAAATTGTAAGAGAATAAACCCTGTCCATTAAACTCATTCATTTGTGGTATTTTCTGTTAGAGCAGCACTAGAGGACCAAAACAATGGTTAGGTAAGCTGTTTAAGTAGAATATAGAGCTTCACAAACTATTGTCTCTTGAAGGTCTGTGGTATGGCAGTTGATGGATTAAATTGCTAATATTTCATTTGGGATTTTTGTTTCATAGTTCTAAAAAATGGCGTATAGATTTGCTTTTAGTATTATAATTGTTTGCTTTTGATAATAGGGTTATAATCTCTTCTGAGAACAGGCTTTTTCCAAGTATTTTTATACACTTGGACTTTCTAGTCTAGTGCATTCTGGGGTGGGGGCTACCTTTGACTATCTTGCTGGTTTCTTCTATGGTAATTGATTTATTCAGAACATCTATATATTTTTAGCTGATTTTGCTTATTTATATTTCCATTGGTAGGATTTTTTCTACTTCTATTTCTTTCATCAATTGGTGCATGACCATTTTTCTCATTCCCATTTCTGTATTAGTATCATTCCATTTGAAAATCTCAAAGGCTGTACAGGGAAAAGCATACAGGAAATTTTGATGGTATAATGGCCAAGGGGCTCAAGTAGAGCAGGGATTGTGGGGCTGGCGCGGGATCGGGCAGTGTTTCGTTCTGCTGTGCATGGGGTCGCTATGAGTCGGAAGCGACTCGACGGCACTTAACAACAACTAACAATGGCCAAGGACTGAAAAAAAATGAATTTAAAAGTGATTCACTGCAAGAACTTTTTGCTATTGAGAACATACCTCCCTTTGGTTAGCAGCTGAGTGCTTAACCACTGCACCACCAGGCTCTTTCTTTCACTAAAGTAAGGTTAAATAACCCTATGCATCTGTTGTTGTTGTTATGTGCCGTCCAATCGGACCCAACTCATAGCGACCCCTCCTGTTACGATTTACAAATTAAACTTAAAGACACACTTAGGAATGAATCTCCCTAACCTGAGCCTGCCTGTACTACATTTAACAAAGGCCAAAAATACGTTAAAATATAACATTCCCAAATCTCTGACACACCTAATTAGTTATGTGAAATGAAATGACACTGTACAGCTCATAGTCGAAATTCCCCAAATTTTCTTAAGAAAACTGGATGGCCCCCTCTTATGCTCCTAGCCGAATACCAAAACCAAACCAAACTCACTGCCATGGAGTTGGATCCGAGGCGGTATCACTATGGAAGTAGATTGCCCCATTTTCTTTCCAAGAAGTGGCTGCTGGGTTTCAACAGCTAGCCTTCCGGTTTGCAGTCAAATGTCTTAGGCACTACGCCACCAGAGCTCCTCAGCCAAATACATCCCACCCAAATCCAGCTCAAGAGTGCCAGTCACACTTTTTGCAGCCGGTTCACCAACGACTTTGGGTAGGGAAGTTTCCCGCCATTTCACTGATAGGAATGAAGTTCTTTCCTCCTTAGATTCTCCATACATATGGGAGGCCCGACCCTACACCGCTTTCTTCTCGAGGCGAACAGCGGGACCCGAAGGGCGGTCAGCAGCGTTAAGATTCCAGGGACTGAAGTGAAAGGCAACAGACTATGTAACAGTTCAGCATCCACTGAAAAACCGGCGGGGCACAAGTGCGCAGTTAGGGAAAAATGGGTGGGATTGTGTTGCTGTTGTTAGGTGCCGCGTTGTTGTTAGGTGTCGCTGATTTCGACTCAGCCATCCTATGTACAACAGGAAAAAAGTGCTTGGTCCTGCGTCATCCTCACAAGCGTTTCTATACTTGAGCCCATCGTTGCAGCCCACTGTGTCAATCCATACCGTTGAGGGTTTTCCCCAGCCCCTCTAATTTACCAAGCATGATATCCTTTTCCCAGGGAGTGGTGCCTCCCGAAAACATGACCTAAGTACGAGAGACTAAATCTAGTCATTCCCGCTTCTGATGGGATTCTAATGAGATTATGCGCGGGCCCAAAACCCGGGATTAGACGAGTGAGCACAGCCGTTGCAAGGTTGGGGGCGGGGGGCGGGTTCGGTCCAACTCGATCCCGATTGGCCCGCTCCAGAGAGCCGAGTGACGACAATCAGGGAGAACCTCTGATTTGTGTGGTGGCCGCGGGCCGGCGGAGGAAGAGCATTGCGCAGGCGCGATTGCTCGGCTCCTCTCGCCCTAGAGCTCCGGCCCAGCTCTCGCGGACAAGTCCCGACATCGCGCGCTCCCCCACTCCGGGACCGCCCCCTCCCCCCTCTCGGCGTAGTCGAAGATAAACAATAGTTGGCCGGCGAGCGTCGAGTGCATCTCCCGCCGCCGGATTCGGCGGGCTGCGTGGGACCGGCGGGATCCTGGCCAGCCGGCTATGGCGGGGCTGTACTCGCTTGGAGTGAGCGTCTTCTCCGACCAGGGCGGGAGGAAGTACATGGAGGACGTTACCCAAATCGTTGTGGAGCCGGAGCCGACAGCTGAAGAAAAACCCTCGCCGCGGCCGTCGCCCTCTCAGCCGTCGCCTCCGCAGCAGTCACCACCGCCGCCTGCTCTCGCCGGCAGTGAAGTCTCTGGGAAGGGCCCAGCGGTGGCAGCCCGAGAAGCCCGTGAGTCTCTCCCGGACACCGGGGCCTCGCCGGCTCCCAGTCGCTGCTGCCGCCGCCGTTCCTCTGTGGCATTTTTCGCAGTGTGCGACGGGCACGGCGGGCGGGAGGCGGCACAGTTTGCCCGGGAGCACTTGTGGGGATTCATCAAGAAACAGAAAGGTTTCACTTCGTCCGAGCCGGCGAAGGTTTGCGCTGCCATCCGTAAAGGCTTCCTCGCTTGTCACCTCGCCATGTGGAAGAAACTGGGTAAGTTCCATGGCTTGTTGGCTCCCCTCTCTTTTTCAGGCAGTTCAGGGTTTTTAGCACCAGCTAGCATTGCGTGGGCCCCCAGCACTAGAGAGCCCTTTCGGAGTGTACAGTTATAGAAGTGAAGCCTCCTCTCGATAGAATGGAGCTTTACAAGGTGGATATCCGAGCAGATAAATTGTCTTTGGAAAAACAGAATTGCTGTCTCCTTGCAGTCTGTTCTCGGTTTATTTCCATTATCTAAAGATGAATGAGAAGCCGTCATCTCCCTTCGTTGTTTCACTTTGGTGGCAGCAGGCGATAAAGTCTAGAAACCTGGCGCCAGATTTTGTCCAAAGGATAAATCGAAGACATGTTGCTACCCGGGCTAGCGAAGGAAGCGGGAGGAGGCAAAAATTAGCGTGTTTCCTTGCAATCTGTCATTTTGCTCTTGAAAGACTTGTCTCTCTCGGTTGCCTCCTACCGGTGATGTCAGTTCTCTAAATTGACCCGGGTTGGCTGATAGGCGAAGTAAAATGTAAACTAATTTAGGTCTGAAATGTAATCATCCAAACAACTTAAAGTTTTGGAAAGAATTCCGTTGTGATGATCATAAAATATTTTTAGGAGCTTTATGCTTGTACTGCCTATGAAAAAGAAAAGCGAGGAACTAGTGTGTATTAAATTCATCTAGGGCTTTCTAAAAGTACTTTTTTTTTAGTTGCTTTAGCTAATTACTGCCAGTTAATTCCCAAAAAATTCCTAGTTAAAAGAATTTACAAGTTATACATACCCATCAAAGTAACAAGATGAGGAATTGCTAATATCCTAAAATGAAATAAGGACCTTGATTTCTAAAAATGTCGGTGTAAATCTCCAAGAGATTATAGTTGTAGTTTCGTTTAAAATTTAAGTATTTTCTGAAGCAGCCAGTGCTTCTGTACCCAGCATGTTATCATACAGGACTCTAGTTGCTTATCCATTTCAGTGAATAAATAGCATGCATTTTTTTCTCTTTAATAGAAAAAAGAAGATAATACTTTCTGACATTAAAACAAAAAACAAAACTTTTGTTTATGCTAACATAATGAAGTTTTATATTCTGCAGAGGTAGGGACATGTAGAAAAGAGTGTCAAAGATTTGTCAATTACACAAAAACTTGTTGTAAAAAGTATTGTCATAAGAGTTATGGAAGAGCTTTTTTTTCAAAGCCTGTTTTCCATTTGCCTGGCTTTCTGCCAACAATTATTTGATTGACTCATAAACCATCCAGTCAATTTGTTGTCGGAGGCGTTTCCCGTCCAATCCCAAGAGGCCTTTTTTATGTATTTGTTTTGTTTTTATGTAGGCAGGGTAGAGCTGAAAGCACTGCAGTATATTCTAGAAATACATCACATCATTGACTGAGGCAACTAAAAGTGGACAGCAAGGCAACAAGATAGAGGATGATTAGACACAAAGATTTAGTCCTTTTTATTTTGCGATACACTTGGAGCAACACGACTTTGCTGTATTTGAGGACTGAAAAAATACAAACACTTCAAGTTAATTGATTTTTTTAAAAAATGTTATGTATAAATTTTCTGACTCAAATGAGCATTTAAAATAAAGCTGTAGTCATGATGATAAATGTAAATGTGTATGTTTTTTATATACATATAAATTTTTAAATCAAGTTTTCACCTGTATATTGTTTAGAGTCTTAGACTCCAGACAGGTGTTTACTTTGTACCACACCATTCTCAAAATTTAAATGAACCAAATCCAATTTCTAACATGTTCTAAGTTTAACAGCAATAAAATTTGTATGCTGAGTGTTTGTAAGTCTTGACACAGGAAATGCAACAAAAAAAAATTTATTTTACTTTAGTACAGAATTCATGGATAGCTCTTGATTTTCTATAAGATAAGCTAAAACTTTTCCATTTAAGCTAGAGAACAAGTTCTTTCTGTGTCCAACTTCAGCCTCCCTATTCATTTCTGTTACCCACAGTTCTATTAATGTTATTCTGCATACCTTTTTCTAGGACAGATTGAAATATTCCATTTTTTGGATTCCTGCTCTCTTCCTCCACATAAAAAGGAAAACTCAAAACAAAAATCAACTTATACATAGTCTCCAAGTCAACATGTTTTCTTTTGTTAAGACTTATGTTTTTCTTGGAATTGCATGCATTTTGTTTCTCCTTTTGGGTTATAGCAGTGGTTCTCCAATTTTTTGCTCTCAGGACCCTTTCTACTTTTAAATTATTGATGGCACGGAAGAGCTTTTACTGATGTGGGCCGTACTGTGTGACTATTTCATATTTACCATATGACAACAGTCAGTGAACTTGAATTCCTGGTTCCAGTAAAGAATTCCTCATCTGAATTACTGCTCTTTACTATATGTGAAACGTGTGGTCGGTGAGGAAGGATGGATGGATAGGCGGACATGTAGATATGAATTGAATAAAACAAATTTGCTTGTCTTGAAAAAAAAAATGATTACGAAGTTAAAGCTGAGAAATTTAAAGATAGTTTTAAAACAATAATAAACTTGTTTCATGTTAATATATTTTTAAATAAAAAATATCACTCTTTCAATGTTAGAAATATTGGTGAGAGGAGTGATATTATTTTACATTTTTGCAAACCTTTTTTCATGTGTAGCTTACTAGCTGACAGCTGGATCCTCATAGGGACTTCTGCATTTAGTCTATTAATTTTGTGTTTGGTTGAAGTATATAAAGAAAATAACTCACAGATATGTAGCAGAAAAAGGCAGGAATATTTTGGTAGTCTTTTCAGACAATTTTGGGTATTCTATATCAAAGTGGTAGTTTCTGAAAGTTAGTGGTCACAGAATGTGATTATCTTGTGGTTGAACTTTCTGTAGTCTTAATTTTGGGACCTTTGTTCTGTCTTGCACTTTGAGTCTTTTATGTATGATTTTGTAACATTGTACATAAATCATGTGGAAAATAATGGTTGACTGAGCTAATGCAGATCTTCCAAATAATAACTCATTTCATTTGTTGTTGTTATGTGCCGTTGAGTCGGACCTGACTCATAGCGACCCCTCCTTGGGTTTCCGAGGCAGTATCACTACGGAAGTAGTGGGTTGAACCGCCAGCCTTTTGGTTAGCAGTTAAGTGCCTTAACCACTGTGCTACCAGAGCTCCCTTTTGTGATATAGAACATTAAAAATACATGTTTGTGGACCAAGATTTAATAGAATTATTTTTTTTTCAAGGACATTGTTAAGTGAAACTGGCTTGTGTTTGTTTTGTTGTTTTAAAACTGTAAGAGCTATGAAGAAGACAATGACTACTAGTTCAGTTTGTTGACATTCCCTTGACTTGTGCTAAGGTATCAGCAGTTTTACCCAACACGGCTTTTGTACCATCAGTTCAAATGTCAACATAGTGAAAAGGGCAAATAAATTCTTAGAATTATTATGAAAATAGTTTTGACCTTGTGTCATTCTTGTAAATTTCTGGTGGGCCACTGTGAGAAAATCACTATGTAATAGTATCTGCCTCTCAGCTAGATTTTTTGGTCCTTAGAGAGCAAAGATACTGCCTTTCTCATTATCAACCCTTTTAGGGCTGACCACACATAGTGCCTTGCCCAGAGTGGCTTCTCAAGAACCAATTGAGTTTAGTTGAATTTCTGTGAGTGTAAAGAGTAAATAAACTGACTTTCATTTTTAAAGAACTCTTTCTCAGTCCTCCTAAATGCTTTTTTATTTAATTAACATTCAGCTTGCCCTCTAATGTCTTTACAGTGCCTGTAGAACCAAAAAACCAAAAACCAAATTGTCATTAAGTAGATTCCAACTCATCACAACCCCCCCCCCATTGGGTTCCCAAGAGTATAAATCTTTATGGACACACACTGCGTCATTTTTCTTCTGCAGAGTGACTGATGGGTTTGAACCACCAGCCTTTTAGTTAGCAGCCAAATGCTTTAATCACTATACCACCAGAGCTCCTTTCTTTGTTTACATGTATAGAATTGCTGTACTTTTATTATGTTTGTCTTCTAAGAAGTGTTTTTATACCCCTTCCAAATTTACCAGAACTCAAAACCAAACCTACTGCCATCTAGTGGATTCTGACTTATAGCCACCCCCATAGGTTTCCAAGGCTGTAAATCTTTGCAGAAGCAGACTGCCTCATCTTTCTCCTGTGGAGTGACTGGTGTATTTGAATCATCTGACCTTTTGGTTAGCAGCCAAAATGCTTCACCACTATCAGAGCTCCTTCCATATTTACAAAGGAAAAATGACTTATTGTTGTCATTAAGTAGGAGATTTGATAAATAAGCATGGAATGACAGAATATATGAGTGTGTCTTTGAAAAATGTCATTTAAATTTTTTTTTTCACTTAATTATTAATTATAGTATGGCCCATTTTTCAGCTTGTATATTCATACGTGTAGAATTGTTCCTTTATTCTGTTTGCCTTCTAAGAAATAATGCTTTAACATTTATGTGGGATTTTTGGATTCACTCATTTGAAATAATGTTATTACCCCTTCTTTGATAGTTCAAAGAAGATAGTGAACAAGGTGCAACTTTACTGTGTCATAGTCCATTGTACTAGTTATCAAGAGCGCTAATAGAAAAATAACAACATACTGTTGAAATAAATGATAAATAACTAAAGTGTGATCTCTGATGTGATTACTGGGAATTTGCTACATTATTTGTAAAAAAAAAGATATAAAATCGAATTTTTATTTGTTAACTTAATTTGGTTTGAAGATTAGAGCATTTACTTTAATGAGTATGACTAAATGAATTATGAAGAAGCCAGTCTTAAACTAAATTAGTTCTGAATTTGGTGATAGTTTTCATTATCTTAAATTTAAAATTGGAGGGGAGGGAAGGCAACTTCAATAATAACTTCTCTTAGAATCTTAATTCTAAACTCTTAGAATCTTATTTTAGTTTGCTGATTTCCAATATTTTTATTACCAGTGATCTCTAACCTTTCATATAACACATGTTCTAAAACAGTTATTTGCCATAA